TATTTATCGACTGACTCCAGTCGGAACCCACAGTTAATATCTCAAGCCAAAACTGGGTAGGCTTACAAGCTACGTTATACAGCATCTCCCTTTTCTGCACCACAGCCCCAGGTTCAGCCAGTACTAGTTCCTGTAGCTACACCTATCGTTCAGTCGGTACCAGCACAGACACAGCATGTGACACTTGCAGTCAATGCAGGTAAATCTCTGGAACAGAGAGTGAAGGCGATCGAGTCAAAGTCATGCATGTCTTAAGTCTTTAACAGTGGGAACTACCGATCATGTTTCCTTCTGGTTCAAACATTTAACAGCAAGGACAGGACAAAAACAAAAAAATCACACAAACGCTTTACTGCACCAGCGATGGTACATATTGAATCAAAACCCTGCTCAAAGTTCCTTATATTAGGAAGTATCACGGGGAGACTGTACTAGGAAGGGTTACAACTGGTCCTTCTATTATTTGGTGCATACTGATGCCTCAGGAGGTTCAAGGTGTCCTCTGTATCATCCATCCACCCACATTTAGACTCATTAAAAAGTTTCATCTCACCTGATGCAATAATTAGTTATATTTTATTTCAAAATTGAATTCAAAATTAGTAAAATCAATATGCATAATAAAAAAAAAAGATTTTTTATATTCATTCGGAGTGAGGCAATTTATGTTAGTTATAAAAAAGAAAATATCACTCCCAACAAAGAATGCTTTTACTTTCTATCAGTATTGACCACAGCTTGTTATATAATTACATTGTAGAACCTATATGATTGTAATCAGTGATTGTTTATTTTATTTGTTTTAATCAATTTCCCATCACTATTGGGTTTTTTATTTTATAGTAATTGAAAATCATATTGTAGATATTCTGTTTGAAATATGGTGTCAAATGTATCTAATAAAGTACTGAAGCAATATTTGGCATCCCTATAATATATAGTTGTGCTTTTCACTTTTCATTTAAACTTGATCAAATGCTACAGCTAATGATAGCCTATAATTTGATACATTAGGTGTTCCAAAATGTTACCATGGAAACACTTTTGAGGTTTCTGATTGTTCGAAATTAAGGTATTATCTGATTAAGTTGAAAATTTGTATAAAAAAGGTTAGGGGAATGACAAATACAATACCATGTTTCCATTTGGTTGCCATGGTGATCAATTGAAGACCTCTTCGAGGAATTTTGTTTTGAACACCTTATGTCTCTCTGTGCCAGGAGACACACAAGTCTTGGACATCCCTTCTCCACTGTTTTCAATCTTCGATGGCACGGCTTATTTGAGATGTGCTTCTCCCATCGAATCCGGAAGATCCTTCTTAGACACTTATTTTGAAAGATATCTAGTTTTCCTTCATCATCTCCCTTGGTCAATTTCCAAGTCTCACACCCATAGAGCAACACCGATAGTATGAGGCTCTTAAAAAGGGAGACTTTGACCTTTTTGTTGATGTCTCTAGCTTGCCAGATGTTCGATAGCCGTTTGAACTGTCCACTTGCCAAAGCTATTCTTTTTTTTATCGTCCGCTGTTCCTCCTCCGTTCTTTGTCACATTGGCTCTCAGATATGTGAAGCTATCTTTTTTTTTTTTTTTTCCCAAACTTTTATTAACAAAAGACAATGACATATACAATACATACAAAACATGGACATACTTTACATATACAGTAACAATACAAATCAATTTTTAACATTGATATACCAATAATCTTGACATTAATACGATAACATATATATATAAATCACTACCTGATTGAGAAAGTAAGGCTGTCACTATGCTGTGTAGGATGTACTTATGTCCCTTTAAATGTTTAGGGGAGACCATTTTGCTTGATATTTTTCAAATGAATTATTAATTTTTGAAATAAATTTTTCAGTTTCATTTTGTTGATAAATGAGAGTTTTACATTCTGTAAATGTTGGTTGAATTTCTTTGTATCGGCAGATATAAATGTAATATTTCATGGTTAGGATTAGATGATTTATAACTTTTGGGCCCTTTTCACAAATGAAGAGTATATCATAAGCATCGAAAAAATCAATTTCAAAATTATCACTTACTGAATTTATCCATACCTTAAATTCATTCCAAATTCTTTTAACAATTACACAATTGAAAAACAAATGTATTAGTGTTTCAGTTTCATTTTTACAAAATGTACATTTATCAACACCAGTAATTTTGATTTTATATAAAAACTCTTTAGTAGTCAAAATTCTGTGTAGTAGTTTAAATTGAAAATTTTGCATTTTTGTTTCTATTGTACAGTATTTTGGTAATGTATATATTTTACTCCAACCTATCTTAGTTTCTATGTTCGCATTTAAATCTCTATTCCATTTGGCTTGTTTTCCTACAGGATCTATTTTATGTTTGTTCAGTAAGGATTTATATACAAATTTCAAGTCATTTTGAACCATTATTTTCTGAAAATCAGATAAATTTGCTTCATCATTAGGAGTAATTATATCTCTATTTTGTCGTAACTCATGTAATTTATTTTTTGGAAATTTTACTTGTCAGAGCAAAGTATTGAATAAAGTTCATAGTAGGACATTTAACTTTAATATTTTCAAAATTTAGAAAATAAAATCTATTATCTAACAGGTCTTTAATCTTTTCAACCCCAGATTGTTGGAATGCTATAAATTGTTTGAAATCTTGAAATGGAACATAGTTTAATATATCTTCATGTAATAAGTCTATAGGTTTATCTTGGGATTTTTTAAAATCTATCCATGCTAAAAGTGTATCTTTCCAAAAAGGATTTGATATTTTTTTACTTATTTCGTTTGAAGTTACATTGTTAAAATTCCAAATTCTCTCGTTACCAAATTGATTAAGTAAGGTTTTGGTCAAAGTTTGCCATTGGCCATCACCTGTATATAATCTTTTTAACCATTTTACCTTTAAGTATTTAATAAAGCTTTCTATGTGTATCATTTTCAAGCCACCTTCATCATAATCAAGTATCAAAGTGTTTCTTTTAATCCTATCAGGTTTGTACCCCCATATAAATTTATAAAATAAACAGAATTAAATTCTTGAAGCCATTTTTTTCCTGGGTTTGGTAAAGAGTAAAATAAATGTGTTAATATGGGTAATGCAAGTGTTTTGACTATTGTGATTTTTCCAATAAGTGAAAGTTTACGTCTCGACCACATACCTAATAGTTTTTTCATGTTAGTTAGCTTATCCTTAAAATTGATTTCAATAATTTCAGACAATTCTAATGAAAAGTTTATTCCCAAAAGTTGAAATTTATCAGTTGACCATTGAAGGTTAAGCTCGGGGCATAAGATCCTATCTGAATATTTATTTCTTCCAATCCACATCACCTTACATTTGTGTATATTAAGTCTAAGGCCAGACACCAAGGTGAAATATTGAAAAGTTTTAATTGTATTTGAAAGTGAGTTTTCAGAACCATCCAGAAACAGAAAAGCATCATCCGCATATTGCCCTAGTAAATATTCTTTGTCTTCTATTTTGATACCTTTGATTCCATTGTTTTTATTAGGAGCTAAACCTAATATTTCGACTCCAATTATAAACAAGTATGGTGAAACAGGGTCACCTTGACGACAACCCCTCTGTATATTAAAAAAAATCTGAAAAATGCCCATTATTAATCATCCTACTTTTAGTATTATGATAAAATGTTTTGATCCATTGAATAAGAGACTCACCAAAATTAAAAGACTGCAATGCTCTATATATAAATTTCCATTCAACTGAGTCAAATGCTTTCTCGAAATCTACCAATAATAACATCCCAGACCTGTTATTTTCCTCTAAGTAATGCATCAGGTCAAAAACTAATCGCTTATTTTCCCCAATAAACTTCCTTTCATAAAACCTTTTTGTGTATTGCTAATTATGTTTGGAAGCACCTGTTTTATTCTATTTGCAATTAAAGCAGAAGAAATTTTATAATCAATATTAAGCAATGTTAGAGGCCTCCAGTTTTTAAGATAATGTCTGTCTTTTGATTCTTTGTGATATGTGAAGCCATCTACCTCTTCTACTTCATTCAGCTCTACTTTGGCAGCATTTTCTTAAAGCCTTGCTGTCTTCTGTTGTAGATGGTTCATGATGAAAGAAGGGCAAGATCATCTGTAAAATCAAGGTCTTCTATCATTGTTGTGAATTTCCATCTGATTCCAGTTCTCTTCCCATCTGTTGTTCGCCGCATTACCAAGTCGATTACAAGGTGGGAAAGCAAACCTGACATGCAGTAGCCCTGTTTCACACCGGTCATCACTGGACACAACTCAGTTGTTTCACCCTCATGAATGAATTATTACTGGAAGTCCTAATAAAGGATCTTGACCAACTGGACCAGTTTCATAGGGGTTCCATACTGACGCATGATGATCCAAAGGCTGTCTCTGTATATGGAATCGAAGGTCTTTTCAAAGTCGACGAAGTGGATGTACAATGTAGCATTCCATTCGTTGACTTTTTCCAAGATATTCCTGAGAATGAATATCTGGTCCACAGTTAATCTGTCTGTCCGAAAGCCGGCTTGTTCTTTCCCGAGTGACGAATCCACTCCTGTCTGTATCCTGTTGATCAGGATCCTGCTGAGCACCTTGCTGGCCAGTGGCAGCAACGTAACTACCCTCCAATTTCCACATTCCTGTAGGTTGCCATTCTTTGGAATTTTGCAAATAAGACCTTTTCCATTGTGTAGGAACTGCTTCTTTCTGCCAAACGAGGTCAAAAATCCTTTTTAGCTCAATATTTGTTGTCAGCTCAAGGTCTGCTTTGAGCATCTCACCAGTAATTTGGTCTGCTCCAGGGGCCTTTCCATTATTGAGGGTTTTCAGTGCATCTCTTATTTCTTGCAAGGATGGAGCTTCTGTTGAGATATCAAGTTCTTCTCCTTTATCTTCTTCTTGTGGTGGTTCTTCAGGTGCATCTCTGTTTAGCACTTCATGAAATGCCCCTTCCATCTTTCCTTCCTAGCTTATTTGTTCTTCAGCAGTTCTCCATCATTTCTCTTCACCGCAGCTGCTTGCCTGGTGCTGTGTCCTGTCAGCTGTTTCACTATGCTGTAGAGTTTTTTCTGTCGCCCTTTCTCTGTTGCTGCCTAAGATCTCTGTGCTTTCTCCGTCATCCATCTCCTCTTGTCTTCCCTCAAGCTTCTCTTCACCTCTCTGTCTTTCTCCCTGTATTCCTCCTTCATTCTGTTCTTGACCCTCTCTGTCAGTCCTGATCTTAATGTCTTTCCTCTCATCGATCAGTTTCCAGGTGTTGTCGCTTATCCATGGCTTGCTCTTCCCTTTCCTGAACCCAAGCACTTCCTCTGCCGCGTTGGTATAGGCACTCCTTTGTTGTTCCCATATCTCCTCTATATCCTCAGTCTCAGTCCTATTCTCCTCAAGCTTACTCCTCACTGACTCACAGAATTTTCGCTTGGTTTCCCCGTCCTTCAGTCGGTCAACATTGATATTTAGCTTAATCTTTTTCTTGTTTCTTTGTGACTGAAGGCGTACTTTGATGCTGGTCCTCACCAGGTAGTGGATGCTGTTGGTATCTACAACCCTCGTACCCAGTATGGAGGATCTCCACTGCCCGCTGATCAAGAGTTGGTCGATTTGGTTCTTTACTCGTCCATCTGCTGACACCCATGTTGCCTTATGGATGTTTTTGTAGGGGAATAATTTACCTGTTATCACCATCCCATTCAGTTGACAAAACTCGCATAGTCTCTCTCCATCATTGTCATTCTGTGTTCCATGCCAATGCACACCCATTGTCCTCTCATATCCGGTGTTATCACTCCCAACCTTGGCGTTCAGATCCCTCATGATGATGATGATGTCGTTCTTGTTACATTCATCAACTGTTTCCTAGGGCTCCTGATAGAACTGCTCCTTCTCAGGATCGTCTTTCCCGTTGCATAGACTTGCATGATGCTTATTCGTCTATACCACGTATAGAATCTGCTGTTATGATTCTCTTGTTGATAGGAGTCCATTCCATGAGCGATGGTATTGCTTTCTGGCTAATCAGGATGGCAACACCTCCCTCGTACAATTCTTCCTCTCCACTGTAAATCAGTGTCTGTCCTGTTGCCAGCTTCATCCTGCCTGCTTCAGTCCATCTGCACTCACTAATCTCAAGTACATCCAGGTGGTACCCCTCCATCTCCCTTGCTATCTGTGCTGTTGCTCTTCCTCTGTACATTGTTCTTACATTCCAATGTCCAATGGTTAACGTTATTTTGGGGCTTGCAAGAGATCTCGTCGAACGCTGAGCTTCCGGTAAACTTTCACCCATCATCGTCATAGTGCCGATGCCGGCGATCCCCGCTCCTCCCAGGTTTTCTTGTTGATTGATGTTCATAGTTTCTGTAACCAACTGTTTGTTTCCGGGAGGAGGTAGTTAGCCTCCTGTCCAACCTCCAGACTCGGAGGGCCAGGGTTTTTCTGTAGGGGTTTTCCTTCCCTTAGACTGCGTTGGTCCACGTGGACAAATGCAAACCTCCCATCCACCACCCAAGAGACGCGCCTCTACGCCGTGCAGTCCCATCGCGAGGTTCTTTTGAACAACCCCTCCAAAACTATTGTTGATTGGGGAGCAGGGGGTATTAATCGGCCATTCTGGGCTCTGGGGACAATTTTAGGTATCTTTCTCTGTCCCTCCATCACCCAGAACCTGCCTCAACAGAGTGAGGGTTATGGAACCTGGACAGCGTATATATCACACCATCTCATTATGCCCAAGGTAAATTTATATCTTGTCAGTGGGCATGAAGATATAAGTACACTTAATAAAATTGGCCATAGGGTCTGGACCCACTTCTGGGACTTAGTTTCTGGGTTATATCGTTGAAAAGGGTGATATCCCCACCCCATGACTATATACAGTATTACTAAGCATTAAGACATGAATACATTCATGGTGCAAGAATTGACCCTTTGGTATGGCACACCTCTAGAGACATACTTTCTTGGTGATATGTTTGACATAGTTGAAATAGGAATCCGAAAACCATATGAGCTTTTATTGGACATCAAAAAAGAAAGACGGTAAAGGTATGAGAATTTACACATTGGTCTTGTCTTGCCAAAGAGCTTAAGTGAATGAGCTGTAATTTCAAATACCCAACTTAAAGGCATGTATACCATTGCTGTCCTTTAAGATCCAGGTGAGTGATACAGGCCCTATTGGCCTCTTGTTGCATATATCAATGGTGATATATGTGTGTTTAATCATTGTAAGCATTCACATCATCAATTTTGACCTTTACTTTTAGTTCCGATATCAGAATTTTAATTCTAATAAGCTTCATCCGGCGTCGTGTGTCCATAAACCAATTTAAAACTTTCGACTTCTCAAAAACCCCTGATCGATTTCAATGAAATTTTGCAGAAACCTTTCTGGCCTAAGATGAACTAAACGTATGAATCATACCCCCCCCCCCTCCCCACCCCCCCAGGGTCCTGAGGGGCAGGGCCAAAAGGTGTCAAATTGTTGTAAATTTCAAAAAAGTCTTTTTAACACTGAGAAATGTTAGAATCAAATGCTTTTCATGAATGGAAGCATCTTAAAATGCTTTAATTACCAAAATGAGCTGCACAATCCTTCCAGTGCAGGAATATTTTATTATACTTCATAGAAAAATTACATTTTTGAGCGTAATGGTTATTTCCCACTGGAAATAACTACATAAGAATTTCCGTATAGGATGACAGTTTTAATGGCATGCATGTATTGACTCTGGCTTACTATATTCAGTGTCACGATTTCTGTTTCATGACAGTTGATAACTATCCTTCTAAACTATATATTCACTATTGCTTATCTCAGGTGACCATTAAGGCTGCTAGACCTCTTGTTATTAGCACACCTGGCCCAAAGGGCCAAGTGAGCTTATGCCATAGCGCGGCGTCCGTCGTCAGTCAGTCCGTCCATCCTGCGTCCGTCAACTTTTCATTTAAAAAACTTCTTCTGAAAAACCGAAAGACGTAGTTATCATATGATAATATGGCTGAAAGGTTCCTTTGATGAAGCCCAAGAAAGTTTGCAAAAAGAAATGACCTTGACCCATATCCAAGGTCACAGAGGACAAATGTGTTAAAACCTATAAACGACTTCTTCCAAAATATTCAAGGTCACAACGGTCAAATGCGTTAAACCTTTGAATAACTTCTACTTAACCAAAAGGCCTAAATGCATAATATTTGACCAAAAGGTTCCTTCTATGGTGCCCACAGTGTGTGAAAAAATAGCTTGACCCATAGAAATATTTAAGGTCACTGGAGTTAAAACTGGTAAAATCATTAACAACTTCTGATTGACCAAAGGCTGTCATATGTGGCTAGTGAAAGTTTCACAAAGGCTTATATACAAATATGTAGAACATTCCTATGACTTATTAAAGGAATATATTTGGCTGGGAATTTGGAATAAATTACAAAGACCTTTCACAGTGATGTCTCACTGTTCCAAAAAATAGATGAGGCCAAGCCCCCGTAGGTCTGAGATGCTTGAGCTAAGTAATGTGAAAAACTACATGTTGGCCAATGACATACGTTTTATTCATATTAAAATACAGAAAACATAATCGGAAAGAGCTTCATTTTGATTGAAGATTCTTCATAATTATAGCATAAATAAGTAAGAAATTCGAAGCTGATCCCATTTGCTATGCAGTGTTTATAGGCCTACAGTAAACTGTTATCATTATATCTCCAGTAACCAGGGCTTTACTGGCCATCACTAATGATATGCTTGAAACGTTTTATTATTGGTTTTGAGTTAGGATTATGGTTTATAATTACATGTACCTTAATTTTTCCTGTCTTTAAATTTAAATGTTGCTACATATTGTTGACTTGTGCAAGTGTAAAATATGTTGTATCTGTGTTTGTAAACAATGATCTAAAGGGCAAGTAAGCTTCTGCTGTCCTGGGTCATCCGTCCAGCTATAACTAAGAGTTTTTCTGCTATATTATTTGACCATCTTCTTTCCTTCATTTAAAAAAAGCTATCAATTATATTTAAAAGGAAACATAAGAAAGTCTACATTCAACATTGCACAGCTGAAGGAGCTGACTATTAAGGGACAGAACCCATATGGAGTAATTTGTCATATTGCTCAGGGGCGTAGCTAGCCAAGCAGAAATGTGAAACCCCAGGCGAAAATGAATTTCATGATTTCAAAGATGTTTTTAATATTTTTCTGAGGCAGTTTTTTTTATTTATTTAACAACAAACTTCAATCTCTGGTATTTATTTTCAATCTTAGTTTTGTAATTTAGTCGGACATACTCTATGCACGGATTTTTTATGTGTAAGCCCGGGCTTTTTCTTTCTATGGAAGCTACGCCCCTGTTGTTTGAAGCATCTACTGTGGAACATATGCATAGATATAGTACTGTTGGTTATAAAGATCCAAGTGAGCGATACAGGCCCTCTGGGCCTCTTGTATTTAACTTATATAGGGATTATTTGATACACAGAAGAAAAGTAAGTGGGATATCATATTGATATCATAAGTGGAATCCACTGTACATTGTGTGAATTGTTTTGGTGTCAGTTGTGATGACTTGCCTAGAACAAGACCATACAGGTCCCATGGCCTATTCATTTTTGCGTAACATCGAAAGAAATTTTATTATAACCTTCACCTAAAATCTACATAAAGTATGGTCTTGATTTCGACTTCAGCCCAGAAAACATAAAGGTATACAAACATGTATTGGTTTAAGTTATGACCTTGACCATTCACTGCACAAGACCTTCAGGGACGTGTGAAGTGGGGCGAAAATGACATTACTGTAAATATCTTGATTACTTTTCCAAAATGGGTTCAAAATATTGCAAATTGAGTTTTCTTGATTTTCCTTGTTCATTTTAATTGTGTGTTGCTGATAAAGCCTACCAAACATTCTTTTTTGAAATTAAAAACGTTAGTCCAAATCAATCTTTAAAGAAAAATGCAAACATTGATTTATTGAAATTAATTAGTTTTACTCAATAACTCTATGCTGCATACAATCTTAGTTCCATTGTCCTCTCTAACACCCTGTTAACAGCATGCTACCCTACTAATACCTGTACTGGTATATTGGTCCCGCTAACAAACTGGAACTGTGATTATTTGTAGTATGCTACATATGTATTAGTTTTACAAAATGTAAATAATAAAGAAAAGTTACTATTGATTTTCTAGTGTTTAAGTGTAAAGTGAAGCAAAGCATTTCCAAATTTATTGTCTAGTTATTTTGGTTGTCAAATCGGAAAATTCTTTCAAAATTTACTGCAAAATGATAGAGTAAATTGAGGGCAAACAGCAACTGTTTTTCATCAAATTTTCATCAAAAAAAAGGAACATTTTCTGAAAGGAAGTATTTATATAAAATTCCTTAAATTTAGGTCATTTTTAGTGTTTATAGCTTTATAGTCAGTTAGCTCCCTTTAGAATCTACTCCGTAGTTCCTTAGGTTCAGACCCTACTCCTCAGTCCCCAATAGTCAGACACTTTAGACCCCACTGTCCCCTAGAGTCAGAACATTTAGACTCTGCTCCTTTGTCCCCCCTAGAGTCGGACCCTTTAGACCCTACTCCTTTGTCCCCCTTAGAGTTGGACCCTTTAGACCCTACTCCTTTGACCCTAGAGAGTCCGACTGTTTAGAGCCTACTCTTCTGTCCCCAAGAGTCAGCCCTAGATTGGAGGATCGTGGCTGTATGTTGCAGTGAGGTACATTTGTACCAAGTTTAGGTATGTTTGATTAATTGAATAATTCATGATGAATGGTTATACAGTGTTTTTGTTGATAAACTAAAGTATGAAATCCTCTCAGAATATTATTTTGCAGGTGGATCCCAGGATGAGCTGACCTTGCATGGCTGTATTGGAGCTGTTGTAGGTAATGGTGATGATTTCAGGGATTGATATGGTTATGGCAGTGATGGCGATTGGTTTCATGGAGACGATATTAAGGATGTATAGGAGGGTGGTAGCAGTAGCTTGCAGTGAGGTACATTTGTACCAAGATTAGGTATGTTTGATTAATTGAATAATTCGTGATGAATGTTAAATAGTGTTAGTGCTTTGTTGGAAAATCCTCTAAAATCATTTGTGTGTGATTTTTTTTTAGATTTTTTGTCGAAATAATCACCATGGTGGTGGAGCATCAACAATTTCACCAAAACTGGTGGGTATTCTTTTTTTTTGTCGGTAATCTAACATATTAAATCCTCTCAGAATAATGTTTTACAGCTGAATCCTGGGATGACCTGTACTGGAGCTGTTGTAGCTGAATATCTTGAAAGACTGTACTCTATTGGGGGATGGTGGCCGGTATGTTACACAAGGTTTTGATGATTTGAATTCAATTTAATCTGTTTCCTCACTTGGCCTCACTCCTTTGCCTTCATGGTTTCTCTAACCACTCTGTTTCTCTTATCTGGCCACATCTTTGTCCTAGACCCGCCCCTCAGGCCTGAGGGAGCGAAACCCTCCATCAATACGAACTTGGTTCCCCTACACTCAACAATGCTTCTGGCTGAATTTTAATCAATTCTAGAAGTGCTTTTATAAACTAGGATCGAGGTCAATATATATATCATAGTACAGTTTTGTATAGAAATTCTGGAGTAGTGTTTTGTATATATTCATTATGTCCAGCACCATTTGGCGGAGAACTTTTACCCAACCATGAAAAATTTATACAAAAAAACCCATTAAATTAAGTTAATTTTACTTTTCAAGTTGTTGATACCAAAAATATCAATGATTAAAGTATTTTTAAACTGCAAAATGCCGGAAATGCAGATGGCATCTTGCATGAATTTAACCTCGTGATGAAAAATCACTAGCAAGCATTGAAACGGTCATAAGTTATTAATCAAAAGGAAGAAAAATATGCCACTGCTATTTGTAGATAACCAGTATGATATTTCCATTGGCTTGACTAAGGATGGATGAGTTTATGCTATTTGTAGATAACCAGTATGATATTTCCATTGGCTTGACTAAGGATGGATGAGTTTATAAAACATTAGCCAATGTACCTAGTGGTAACAGGCGAAATTGTTTTAAAAGCATATTATTTTGTCTGGTAAGCTGCATTTCACAAATTACTACAAAATCATGAAATGTTATGTCCAGAAAAACGGTAATGTCTAGACTAACGGCATTCCCAGCAATATGTATATAGATTTTTGTATAACCTATGTGAATTCATCTGTTTTGGGTAGATGATATTTTAAAGCTGTATGTACATAGCTATAACTAAACAGACTGCCATCCTAGTTGAAGTATTAGCCACACGTTGAAATGTCTCCACTATCATGACATTATATTTCCACTGACTACACAATAACACACTTGATATAACATTCACATTTATTCTTTTCTACATATTGTAAAAAATATCAAATCCAACCATGAAAAGAAAAAGTTTATTTCCAACTATATGCAAAAGGGCAGTAAATGTTCAACTGATATTCCTTCTATGTTTAATTTATCTAACTGGTTTGACGTCCAGTATATCAGCGGACATCACTGATATTCCTTCTATGTTTAATTTATCTAACTGGTTTGACGACCAGTATATCAGCGGACATCAATGATATTTCTTTTACCTACCGACAAAGACCAACAATTGATAACGCATGCATCAACGAGTGCAAAGTTCTCTTAACGTAGTCCTGCCTGGTGAACATAGATAGTGATGGAAGCACAATCTTTAAATGCTTTATAACTGGCATTCATTTTCAACTCTAATATATTCCATTTTGTGAAGTGAAAAATGATAAAATTGTAATGATAAAGGACAGACAGACGTTGGATAAAAACGATTTAAGATTTAAATGAGCTCACAGGCTATTTCATTTCAATGCACACATTAATAGATACAACAACAAAATGATTAAATATGCAAATGCATTATATTACTACTTAAATAACACAATAAAAGATTTATCTACTATAGAACACACCATACATACAATGTAGCCAGCTCCAAAAATTCCAACTTCTATATACTGTAAAATGTACTGTCTCCAATGTTTCTATTTTTGGCATTACAGAGAATTCAATAAAACCACAAATTTAGAAATCATTGAAATAAAATTCAACAGAAGCAATAGATTGTTTCATAATAAGTGAGAATAAATATATCGTTTCATGATGAGAAAGACATTTCTGATCTTTTTTTAAAAAGATCTTCATTTAGCTCCAAGTTTTTTGTACATCTGTCAAAGTTTGTACTATGGACAAATTGTGAACAGTTTATACAAAATAAAACTATTGTGTAAATGCAAGCTTGATCCCTACAGACATATCACATCAGGTGAAATCTATCACATAGACATATCACCTAAATATGGATTTATTCTATTGTATAGTACAGCTATGCACCTTAAAACTGCTGGCATAAAGGTGAACCCCATCATCTTTCTAGGACATTTACTCATTGTAAAATCATCGCCAGTGGTTATTAAGTGATGACTCCACCCAAAACAGATATTAAACAATAATACACTACATCACCATAACATAACTAGGCCAAGGTTTACTCCAATCTAATATTATCTAAATTAGAGTAACCACTCCATATATATGTGATGTGGTTGACTACAATTATCAGAACAAATAACCAGTTCCATTTAAACAGATACAGAAATAAAAATACATATCAAGCTTGTCCTTGGATATGATCAAATTGTATGGGCTGGTGGTGCTACATGCACTACTTCTGGACATGAAATAACCTTGTTCATTTTTAGTTAAAGTTGGATTTCGTCGTCTTTTGTTCTGACATCTTAAAACAACCCAGATTATTGAAAATCCACCAAACTATTTGTCTACATACATTGTACATTACTAATGTGCTTAATCACAAGGCACTTCTGAATCAATATGTATAATCTTATAGTTAAAATATATATCCTGAATAATGAAACCAACCATATAAGTTACATAACACACATAAACCCCATATAAATATCACCAACCACACCATTATATAAAGTTTAGTACTCACTGAGTCCATACATCCATATATGCATTCATCACTCTATAAATTCATTATAAACACATTGTAAACTCTGTATATCACTGATGTCTGATATTCAAACTGCATTAGCAAAACAACAGAGCATTCATATTTACAAGAGTACCTCGGAACTGTATGTGTCGCCTGAAATAAAGCGTCACAGTCACCCAGAACTGTATGTGTCGCCTGAAATAAAGCGTCACAGTCACCCAGAACTGTATGTGTCGGCTGAAATAAAGCGTCACAGTCACCCAGAACTGTATGTGTCGCCTGAAATAAAGCGTCACAGTCACCCAGAACTGTATGTGTCGCCTGAAATAAAGCGTCACAGTCACCCAGAACTGTATGTGTCGCCTGAAATAAAGCGTCACAGTCACCAAGAACTGGATGTGTCGCCTGAAATAAAGCGTCACAGTCACCCAGAACTGTATGTGTCGCCTGAAATAAAGCGTCACAGTCACCCAGAACTGTATGTGTCGCCTGAAATAAAGCGTCACAGTCACCAAGAACTGTATGTGTCACCTGAAATAAAGCGTCACAGTCACCCAGAACTGTATGTGTCGCCTGAAATAAAGCGTCACAGTCACCAAGAACTGGATGTGTCGCCTGAAATAAAGCGTCACAGTCACCCAGAACTGTGTGTGTCGCCTGAAATAAAGCGTCACAGTCACCAAGAACTGTATGTGCAACGTTCAACCATAAAGTTGTAATACCAAATCATTTCTTTAACTCGAAGCATAAAGGGAAAACTGCGCAAAGCAATATTCCTGAGAAATTTTCCAAGTTCAAAGGAACATATCATTGCCAAGAAGGGTTACAGACTGCCAAGAAGCGAACTCGGTGCATAACTTTTGACCAAGAACTGGTATACAAAATTGCATTTTGATAACTTGATCATAAGTGTGAAAATTTTCCAAGTTCAACTGAGCATAACTCTGCCAAGAAAGCTGTGAATCGAACCTTATCTGTAATGGTCGACCATGAAGCCATTTCTCATATTTCATTTAAAAAACTCTAAGCATAATCAAGAAAAGTACAAAAATACCATATTCTCAAAGAATTTTCAAAGAGCATAACTCTGTAAAGAAGGGTCACAGACAGACAAGAATCATAACTAATCTGTACCCTTCCAACAAGAAGCCATATACCAAATTTCATTTCTATAACTCAAAGATAACCCAAAGAAAGTCCAGAAAACAATATTCTCAGAGAATTTTCTATGTTCAAAGGGGCATTTCTCTGCCAAGAAGACAGCCTGAAATTGAACTTAATCTGTGCTCTTCCAACAAGAAGCCATATACTAAATTTCATTTTGATGACTCAAAGCATAACTGAACAAAGTCCTGAAAACTTAAGTACCAATGCCCCTGACACATGATGACGGAAAAAGTAATCCCTAAGTGTCCGCCAGCTCTGCAGGCAACACAATTATATGGTACTTGATGTCTAGATCCAGTGTTCCATTGTCACTTCTACTTTTTATAGATCTTTGCTGGAACACTGTGTGAAGGTTTAATTAAAGTGTTGTCATGATGATTTTTACATTAAAAATGGTTTATTTGTTTTTCTTATGCTTTTTCTATTTGAAAACTGCATGAAGAAATGTAAACAGAATAGTGTGCCACATATCTGGGTCACTAAGATACGCAGGGTGTCCAGCGTTCTCCATCAGAAAATCCTTTGCGTTCGGCAGGGCTGCCAGGTTCTTCCTTGCTGCCGGCCCGATCACTGTATCTTTGTCCCCTGTAACTATGGCAGTTTTAATCTAAAAAATAATAATGTCACAAAAAAACAGTTTAATGTTATGAATAAAACAAATTACACAATGCTGATGAAGAGATCGGAAAACAAATAATTCCGACGTTCGGGGAGATCTGAAAACAATTAGATGAAAACTATTAAAAGTTAAAGTCAAGGTTATAATGTTGACCATAACTGAAAAGTAATAACTATGATATTGTCATTCTCAACAGGATCGGAAAAGAAATAAAGACAATACATATATGGGAAATCTAAATACAAATAATTATAATTCTGACGGGATCAGTAAAGAATTTACAATCAAAGTACTGAAAGTACTGGTATGCTAAGACCATTAAAAAATAAATTCTTTGTTATTAGCTTGCTATATACTGAAACCAACTATATGCAATCAATAAATCATTGCAGCCCATAAAAAATGACCAGCAGATATCAGAAATAACAAGCATAGTAGTATTACTTATGTAATACATGTCCCAAGTAGGCTCCAAGATGCAATGATAGGGAAGTTGTCCATTTCTTAGGATACATTGTAGGGAATGTTGATCATGGACACCATATTATCACTTTAAAGACTGTGTATCCTATTGGTTTAAGACCATTAGTTAGACCATCATGCAAATAACATGCTACATACAAATATTGGACAGCTTCATTTTCCAGATTGTTTGTAAATGACTGCATAAGAGTGCCAATTTTCTAAAACAAACATGACTTGTCACCATAACTTAAAATAGAAGATGCCTATTCTTCCAGAAAACCTGGTCTTATTCTCCTTGTACTTTTTCTGGGAATCTTCAAGTAGATATTGACTTTGTTCCAATTTTTCATGTTTATATATTCTTTGTTCTCTTAAACTTGTCACAAGATATTTTATTCCTCTTGTATTATCATTTTTTTAACATCCTTACAGTGACCTTGAACCTTGAAATTTACAAGATGTGAATATCTTTTAGGTTGTGAAATTTGATAGAAAAACGAGGGTAATACAATGGAAAAACACCCCCATGCAACTATTCGTTTTTTGACTGTGACCTTGATCTTTGATATCTGACCCTGAATTTCTAAAGAAACCGACTTCTCCTCACAAGGGATACATGTTCCAAATTTGATTAAGGTATACTAACTGTCTTGGTCTCAATGCGTTTACAAGGTAATCATATAGTACTTATGCAAGTACTGTGACCTCTACATTCAATCCTCAAAATCATTACTATATCCTCTCCACATTGCCCAGGGATAACTGAAACTGTAATCCAAATAGCTAATACCCCCATCACCCACAGCCTTTGTTATCTCCCCATGGTGACCTTTTGCAAAAAAACATCCTCTGACACACAGCGGCATGTGCACATGTTCCCTAATATTCCTGCGAAGTTTTGTTGAAATTAAAAGTTTTGTTGAAATTGGTCCACAGGTTTAGAAGTTGACCAACATGCAAAACCTATCTATATTGACCAGATGCCATGGCAATCAATATTTCCATGGGAAAATGGTGCATGCACATCTACACATTGTCCCGAATATTACTGTAGTTTCATTGGAGTTGTCTAGACAAGATGTGTCTACAGACAGACAAACAGATGGATTTACAGATAGACAACTTGATTCGATTTACCCACCCTTTTGGTGGTATAAGAATGCACAAGAGTGCTTACAACTTCCATGTGGACAGACATCATGGAAAAATAATAATGATGATAATAATAAAAATAAAAACATGATAAAGATGCTTATATCTTGTTTTCTTTATTCAGTATTCTTTCCATGCTTTGATCAGCAATGTAATCTTGTCATGTCAATATCCTAGTACAAGATTGCATACACAAAATTGTTGTAGGTAGACTTTTAAGATAAATAAAAAAAAATACATGTCTAAGTTTAAATGAAGGTTTTAAACAGAAGTCGTATTATGTTCAGTATACAGTGATTTTTCTAGACAATTGTAAACTATAAACTCGGTATACAGCGATCTTTTCTACACATTTGTAAACAACACACTCAGTATGCGGTGATCTTTTCTACAAAAAGGTTTTTTATATATTGTATATACATAACTCAGTATGCGGTGATCTTTTCTACAAAAAGTTTTTTTTATATATTGTATATACATAACTCAGTATGCGGTGATCTTTTCTACAAAAAGTTTTTTTATATATTGTATATACATAACTCAGAAAAAAAAAATAAGTAAACCTTTCTATGTACACTACAAACTCAGTATACAGTGAGCCTTTCTACATAAACTTGGTATAACTAGTGAATCTTTCTACTTAAGTAAATTGAAGATTGTAAAGAAATTTACTACAAATGCAGCATACAATGATCTTTTCCACATTTTTTTAGTTTCTGCCATTTGTTGATTCTTCTTTTGTGATGGTAATTATATTGCCGCCTTTAGAGAGTACTGTGACCTTAAAAGGCAACATGGTTGTTAGCATATCCTCAAGTGATTAACCATCTTCAACATCTAATTGGAGGTTGGAAAGAAGGACGTTTTTCTCCACCATAAGGTCCTCAAATCCATTGTTGGTCACAATGGCCAATTCCAAGTTAGAAGAATCAAGAGATACCTTCTACCATTCCAGATTTCATTTCTTCAGGGACATCCACCTGCTGAAAGAGAGTAAGGGAAATAAATAACTATATTTCTTTATTGCTATGATTATGTGCAAGAAATATACACTTCTGTATAAGCTTATAGTCTTGAACTTCCCAATAGGAGTCTATATTAAATATAATTAATTGTTTTGACATTCAGGACTGTCAAATTATGAAGTGATGGACAGCTAGAAAATAAGAATATCTTGACCATGGTCATACAGAGATTGAATCATAAAGTTAAATTCATGAGATAAATCTGTGCAGTATGATAATTTATTTTGACGTTTGTATTTCAAAAATCATTATGACTTGAAAGGTAATGTGTAATTTAATTAATTACATTGGACCGTCATGCAATGGCAATGCCATTTTCATAATGTAATTGTAATTTCATTAATTACATCATCATGTAATTGAACCCATGCCTGTTACAAACAGTAGCTGTCCTAACTGATCCTAAAATTAAATTTGGCTATGTCTATCACAAAATTAATGTTGGCTGTCTATTACAAATGCCATATTTAGCTACAGTAGAGGTATTTCAAAAATGTATGTCATTGTAACTGAAAGGACACAATTAATGGTTACTTAACCAGAACTACAGTTCTGAACAAACCACTACAAAGCCTGGTTAACTGTACTAAGAAAATTTCTTCTCAATTAATCAATTTCATTGATTATTGACATCTTATTGTTGTACTTACAGTCACTTGAGTTTCTTAAAAGTTGCAATTTGACTTTTAATAAGGCCCAAAATGATAATACTGCAATGTCTTAATTAGCTCTCGAGGGGTATTGGTTAGACTATTTATCTCATTTCATTCCATTCACCATGAAAACAAAACTCTAAAAAACAGTCGACAATTAATGACAAATATTGAGCCTAGGGCTGGGTAAAATTGATGAATCAAAAGTGTTGAACTGAAAGTGGACGCAGTTGACATAATACTGAAATTTCTGAGATGAACAAATACAGTACATATATCAAAAAGTTCAATTGTACCAATAATACTTTACACATTCACACTGGGACTTTACACATTCACACTGGGACCTAACACTTTGCTAGGTTTATCCTAATCTTTATTAAAATACTTTCCGGGAATCAGATGTTAATTGACATCTTCATTATTCCTAATCTTCATATTGTAATCGTTCACATGCATCACTCTTCAACAGAATCAACGAGACATCATGTCAGAAAGACAAAAACTAAAATTAAGCTAAAACTATATATATTAACTTCACATGTAAACCTTAAAATTAGCATAGCTGTAGAGTTCCCGTACGATTTCATACTCTGGCCTTGGGCCGTTGGGGTACTTATAAATTATCTCCGATCAGAAATTTGAAAGAGCTAGACCTACAATAGCGCGGACAGTGACAGATATTTTAAAGTAAAATCGATATATTACCCAGACAGATTCCTAGATCTATTCACGGTAGCGTAAGTAGTACAGTACAATATTACGGATAAGTTTTTTTTCTGGTTAATTTCCGATCTGTTGGGCCACTGACAGAGGTGACTGCGATGAGACCATTATGAAACGATCATTCCAAAATAAATCCATTTCAAAATACTGAAATACTTTACGGAAGCAACAAAAATGTGCTAGATGCTTACATAACATTTTTCAAATGCATACTGCTTCAAGGGAAAAGTCTTGAAAATATTTTGAAAAAAAAGTGCAGCCTAAATTCAATAGACGCGAAGGCTCATTCCAAATGAATTGTTGCAAAAAATGCAATTGATAGTTCAGTATAAGTATTGACTTCAAATTCAGCTAACATATATATATATATAGTGATACTTACCTACATGAATTACCCGCCATCTTCTTTCAGCCGCCGTCTTCTTTCAGGGTCCAGCAGCACAGAGCACCCCGGCTGTTTCCGTCAAAATTTTATGCTACTCTAAATCATTCTTATTTTAGTTTCATTTTTATTTTCAACTACATATATAAGTATTTTTAATAGTTATCAACAGTATTAAACGGGAAGTAAATTTTCGAAAAAAGAAAAATAGAAAGATATACAAATGTATATGACTCCCACAATGCATCGCGCGGAAAAGAAAGTCAAGCCGCCATATTGGCATCGCCTCGCAAAATTTACCACCATAAACGTGAGTCTTTGTCATTGTATTTACAAATTTCGATGTCTGATTATCATTAATACACAACACAAAACATTTTCTTGATGTACAGGTAATGAAGAAAATGTCGATAAGGTTGTTTCATTTAATGACTAGCATCAGCAACTTGTAGGGGCGATAATCCGATGATTACGGTAATGTCCGGCAGATGGAGTAGGAGTAAACTTTCGATTTATGAACCAATGAAAACGAAGTACTGATACTCAGCCTCAGGGGCGATAGCAACATGCTGAAGAGCATTGAAATAGCATAAAAATGATGAGCAACCAATACCAATCATATCAGGCTACAATTCCAGTCCTGTAAGACAGTCTGGTCATCATTCTAGTTGTAGAGGACATGAAAATGATGTGAGGAGAAAATGGGTGCAGATGCTGAAAGAAACAAAATGTTTAACAAGAGGCCAAATGTGCCTGCAGTGCTCACCTAGTATATATACCAACCAAATATCATGCCTCTTGGCCTTTTAGTTTATGAAAAGAAGTCATTTAAATGTTTTAACAAATTTGAACCCTGTAACCTTGAAAATAGGTCAAGGTCATTTCTTTTCACAAACTTTGGCGGGCTTCATCCTGGGAACATACCAGCCAAATATGCCCCTAGGCCTTGTAGTTCATAAGAGGTCACTTAAATGTTTTAACAAACTTGACCCTGGATGTAGTATAAGTCAAGGTCACTTCTTTTGGCAAACTTTGTCGGGCTTCTTCCTTGCAACATGCCATCCAAATATCATACCAGTAGGCATTTTAGTTCAAGAGCAGAAGTCGTTTAATTGTTTTAACAAATTTGACCCCTGTGACCATGAATATATGTCAAGGACATTTCTTTTCACAAACTTTGTCACACTCCTTCCAAAGAACATACCAGCTAAATATCAAAATATTTAATCCATTGGTTATTGAGAAGAATTTGTTTAAAGTAAAAGTTGATGCCAGATGCTGGATGGACGATGAACCAGGTGAGCTAATAATTTATTCAATGTTAGATTGGTACAAAAACAGACATCTGAACAACTTCATTGGTTAAATATGTGATGACTGTACATCTGTGTTACTGAACCTCCATACAGGAAACATACGTATATCCTTTGGAGAGTCCTAAAAGGATGAAGTCACTGAATGATAAAAAACAAGACAATTTTAACAAAATCTCAAAATTAAAGAAGAATTTGATGATCTTGAAAATGTATATTGACAATATGACCATATATTCCAGAAAGATAAGTGTCTTCTGCTTCATCAACAACACCTGCTATGTACATTGTGGTCGAGCCAAGTACAAATTTAATACAACTAAAGCCACCAGGAATACTAATGAGCATTGAATATATCTAAATGTACATATCGCACAAGGAAATTAAATATTTCTCGGTGAAATCAACTTGCTACTTTCGAAAGTCTGTGTTGAGCATGTGTTTGTGAGCTCTCGACAAGAAAATAATGATACCCAAAGATTAAACCGTTAAATATCTTATCGACTGCGACATTTAAACAATATATATTGGGGAAGCAAGCAAATTACTACTGACAAAGATTAATAAACCCTTATTCAAACAGTATAGCTTGCAAGTAATAAGTAAGAACATTTCATCGATCAGTTGTTTCCTGTTTGTTTTGGTCTTTTGTTTTTTTCTTTTTGGGGTCACTTTTCTCTCCATTTTGTTTGTTCCCTATTTTGTTTTTGGTGTTCATCTTTGCTCCATTTTAACTGTTACCCGTTTTGTTTTAGTGCCTCTTCAGTTTCAACCTGACTAATGTGCTCTTCCTTTTGTTAAGTTGTCTACCAAAGAGAATCAACCTGTTCCATTTCTACTATTTGTTTAGGGGCTTTGTCAGTGTTATCCTTTTATCTTTTTGTCTTCCCATGTTACAGGTTTCTCGTTCTCCTTTGTTTTTGCAGCCTTGGTTTCTCATGAGGTTTGATTTATTTATAGCCATGAACCTGCTCATGTATGTTATATATCAGTATATCTTACCAATGGAATCTTAAGTGTTTCCAGTACATTTCCTATATTCTGAAATATATCCATACAAAACACAATCTATGTAATTAGATCAGGGATCCATGTAGTCCAGTCATACATCTCATTTAAGTTTTTTTTATCTGACCTCCATTTCAATGTCAGTTAAACTTACCTTTGAAACACTGAATTTTGAAGAATATGCCCCAGTTTGTACCGGTGCTACTGGGACGAATCCTCTGGCCCTAGGAGGCATTGTATCAGGCTGGTCAAACAGGAAAGGCAGAGAGAAGCTCCCGCTCATCGAGGGACTTATGATTACCGGACTTGTCAGTTTCAATGCTTTGATTAGCTCGGCTATAAATGAACCCCTCTTTTCATCAGCCACATCCACTTTTGTACTGTCACCAAAGTCTGAAGAATACAAATATCCATTGATTGAATCTTGTACATCAATTGTGATTGGCAAACTGGTTATTATGAAAGATATAAAAGACCAATGTTTCCTACCACCCTTATCTCCGCTCATGACATGTTGCCCATCACCATCACCCTCATCTCCGCCCATCTGACATAGGATGAAGCCTAAAAAACATGAGTGTGTGACTTCATCAACTATATTCTCCCTTCATATAGGCGATTTATCCAGCAAATTGCGAAACTCAAACCTTGGAATCAACATCGATGTACTGTGAGATCAATAATTATTTTATGTTATATACTAAACAAAAAAAGAAAGGTAACACTACTTTATTCTGTGATTAATTAATTAACCCCTTCATAAATCCTTACCAATCACGTACGAATAAAGTAATTGATCATTTCTGATAAAACTGCAGTCATGGTTCATTATAAAACTTTGCGTTCAGTTGATTTTATTCGACTGTAAAGGACATTGGGGTCAATTCAAAGGTAACACCAATAGTAACGGGTATGGCCACTGTTTGCGAAGTAAACAGCATTGCAGCGTCATCACATGGAACTGGTGGATAATTCGAGGAGAGATGTTGTTCCATTCAGCGATCAAGGCTTGGGCCAGCTCCTGCAAGTTTGACGGCTGATTTTGACGTTCTCTCACGCATCGCCCAAGTACGTCCCAGACATGCTCAATCGGTGACAAATCAGGTGATTTAGATGGCCAATCTAACACCTATATGTTATTCTGCTGCAAAAAAGTTCTGTTAATGCGACTGGTGTGCGCTGGTGCGTTATCCCGTTGAAAAATGGCGCCAACACCATGGTGTCTTAAGAATGGCAGAACCACTGGTCTTAAAATTTTGTCCCGATATCGAATGCCGGTTAAATTGTCATTTAACACAACAAGCCTGGTATGAGTCCCCCCACAAATACCACCCCAAACCATTACACTTCCGCTGCCAAAGCAGTCCCGTTCTGCGACTCAGCAGTTCGCAAAACGCTCCCCGCGTCGCCTCCACACTCTGCGCCTTCCGTCACCGTGTTGCAGACAAAACCTGGACTCATCTGAAAACAGAACATTATTCCATTGTCGTAAGGCCCAACGACGGTGAACACGGGTCCAGTTACGCTGATTATTACAGTGACGTCGCAACAAATTGGGTCCAGTGTAGGGACGCCGCGCTTTCAATTGGTAGGCCCTCAACCTGTTGCGGACTGTTTGGGGAGACACACGACGCCCAAACAATGTCCTTGTAGTCTCTACTGCGGTTACGAATCGATTGCGCAAGTCTATCAATCGTACACGACGTTCATCCCTGGCGGTTGTTTTACTGGGTCAGCCGCTTAGGGGATGATCGGATCTTGACCCAGTTTGGTTTAAACGACTTACCAACTGGCAAATTATCAACCAAAATGCTGTGCAACTCGATGGCGAGACTCCCCAGCCTGGATCATGCCTACAGCCGTTTTTCTCTGTGCTTGTGACAGCCGGGGCATAATGATAAAGTTGATAGATAGCAAGATTTGGTAATTTCTAAGGTGATTTCTAAGTCCTAAGGATCTAAGGAACAGTTGTCAGTTTGAATGTTTATGAAATTCAAGCGAAGAAACAAGTAAGCCGCAGGAAACCTCGTGCAGCTCTTTCGCTAATACAGACTTTCACGCTTGAATGATTTTGGTAACCCCCTTGGATTTTGTAATGTAACACATCACCATTTTCTAATATTGCACAAACGTCATTTTGTTTTCACTCATTTACAGGTATTCGCCAAGGAAACATGTTAACCTTTCTTTTTTTGTTGATTATATATATTTATATGGCATTTGATCCTAAATGATATTCTTGACAAAATGAGGGGTTGGCATGGTAACAAAGATATATAACAAGATGTTCACTCTGTTACCCACGGATATCGGAAACATCTACATTCAATGTGTAGGTAGTAAATGTATTCATCGTTTTTTTGATGAACTCATGAATTGGAAAGTGGCCTATTTTAGACATGAATGATTTTTCACTTGCTAATACAATGTTTTTGTAGATCACCCTACACTGTGTAGACATATATTTATGGATCATGACTCTGACTAGCTACTAAGAAGTCACTGAAAACAAAAGATCCCAGAGGGAACCTTGGCACCCATCAGTGTTTCATCTTTTGAAAGTTGGATCTTTTCCCTTCTTTTCTCTTAATGATAAGACATTTGAACATTCCTTTCCAGAAATTGTGATGATAATATTTACCTGCCAAATCCAAGATAGCCTTCTGTAAGCCATTCTATTTCTTCTGATCAGTCCCAAAATCAAATGGGCACAAGGAGAGACAATGGGGGAACATGCGTATGAAATGTGAGAGATATCCATTCAGTACTTCTTAAGAAATAGGGATAACAATCTTTACTAAGCGAAATCCAAGATGGCTGCCTGCTAGCCATTTTGTTTACTTGAACAGTCCCAAAATCAAACAGGCACAGCTAGGTACCAAGAGGAACCGACACATAAAATTTGAGGAAGATCCATCAAGCACTTCTAAAACAAATAGTGATAACAAACTTGCAAAGTCAAAATTCAAGATCGCCAAATGTCAGCCATTTTGTTTTTCTGATCAGACATAAAATAAGGTGGGCACTACTAATAAAGGGTGGGAACCTATAGATGAAACTTGAGAAAGATCTATGTAGTATTTTCTCAAGAAATAGCAATAACAAACTTTTAAATTCAAAATTCAAGATGGTAGCCTTTCAGGTGGGCAAAACTAGAGACCAAGGGAAAGCTACATATGAAATTTAAGAGAGACCCGTCCAATACTTTTAGAGAAATACCGATAACAATCTTCATTGAAAAAATCCAAATTCGCCTACTGTCTGACATTTTGTTCATTTGATCAGTCATAAAATCAAATGGACGGATGATGTTTGGAGGAGACGGACGGACAACGGATCATGGATGCAGGGCAATATGAATGGCCCATCATCTGATGATTGTGGGCTAAGAAAAAAGCAAAAAAAAAAAAAAACAAGAGGCCCATGGACCTTAACGGTCATCTGAAAAAAAGCAAGCCAAACATAGAAAGTGGGTTGAGGTCATTCATTTGAACAAACTTGGTAGCCTCTCCTCCAAGCATCTTACAGGCCCAATATCAGCACTCATGGACTTTTGCTTGTTGAGAAGAAGTCGTTTGTATATTTTAACATATTTGACCCCTGTGACCTTGAAAGTGGGTTGAGGTCATTCATTTGAATAAACTTGGTAGCCTTTCCTCCCAGCATGCTACAGACCCAATATCGGCACTCATAGACTTTTGCTTATTGAGATGAAGTCCTTTGTATATTTTAACATATTTGACCCCTGTGACCTTGAAAGTGGGCCAAGGTCATTCATTTGAACAAACTTTGCAGGGCTCCATGCCAGCATGCTATGGGCCAAGTATTAGCCCCCTAGGCCTTCTAATATTTGAGAAGAAGTTATTTAAAGATTTTGACATATTTGACCCCTGCGACCTTGAAAGTTGTTCAAAGTCATTCATTTAAATAAACTTGGTAACCTTTCCTCCCAGCATGCTACAGACCCAATATCGGCACTCATAGACTTTTGCTTATTGAGATGAAGTCCTTTGTATATTTTAACATATTTGACCCCTGTGACCTTGAAAGTGGGCCAAGGTCATTCATTTGAACAAACTTTGTAGGGCTCCATGCCAGCATGCTATGGGCCAAGTATTAGCCCCCTAGGCCTTCTAGTATTTGAGAAGAAGTTATTTAAAGATTTTGACATATTTGACCCCTGTGACCTTGAAAGTAGTTCAAGGTCATTCATTTAAACAACTTGATAGCCCTTCATCCCAGCATGCCACAGGCACAATATCAGCAATCTGAGCCTTTTGGTTATTGAGAAGAAGTTGTTTAAAGATTTTAACATATTTGACCCCTGTGACCTTTAAAGTGGGTCAAGGTCATTCATTTGAACAAACTTGGTAGTCCTTCATCCCAGCATGTCACAGGCCCAATATCTACACTCTGAGCCTTTTGGTTAATGAGAAGAAGTTGTTTAAAGATTTTAACATATTTGACCCCTGTGACATTGAAAGTGGGTTGAGGTCATTCATTTGAATAAACTTGGTAGCCTTTCCTCCCAGCATGCTACAGACCCAATATCGGCACTCATAGACTTTTGCTTATTGAGATGAAGTCCTTTGTATATTTTAACATATTTGACCCCTGTGACCTTGAAAGTGGGCCAAGGTCATTCATTTGAACAAACTTTGTAGGGCTCCATGCCAGCATGCTATGGGCCAAGTATTAGCCCCCTAGGCCTTCTAGTATTTGAGAAGAAGTTATTTAAAGATTTTGACATATTTGACCCCTGCGACCTTGAAAGTTGTTCAAGGTCATTCATTTAAATAAACTTGGTAGCCTTTCCTCCCAGCATGCTACAGACCCAATATCGGCACTCATAGACTTTTGCTTATTGAGATGAAGTCCTTTGTATATTTTAACATATTTGACCCCTGTGACCTTGGAAGTGGGCCAAGGTCATTCATTTGAACAAACTTTGTAGGGCTCCATGCCAGCATGCTATGGGCCAAGTATTAGCCCCCTAGGCCTTCTAGTATTTGAGAAGAAGTTATTTAAAGATTTTGACATATTTGACCCCTGTGACCTTGAAAGTTGTTCAAGGTCATTCATTTAAACAAACTTGATAGCCCTTCATCCCAGCATGCCACAGGCACAATATCAGCAATCTGAGCCTTTTGGTTATTGAGAAGAAGTTGTTTAAAGATTTTAACATATTTGACCCCTGTGACCTTTAAAGTGGGTCAAGGTCATTCATTTGAACAAACTTGGTAGTCCTTCATCCCAGCATGTCACAGGCCCAATATCTACACTCTGAGCTTTTTGGTTAATGAGAAGAAGTTGTTTAAAGATTTTAACATATTTGACCCCTGCGACCTTGAAAGTGGGTTGAGGTCATTCATTTAAATAAACTTGGTAGTCTT